CTTCATATTTGATTATGTTTGATAAGGTATTTTGAAAACATAATTTATAAAATACAAGGCCTTTGTGAATTATTGTGCTTTATTTGATTATGAATTAATCAAATATAAACCATATTCTACCTCTGAGTCAGAATCATTTTTGATCATTGATTTTTTTATAAACTTGGTAATTGTTAGCACACTTTTTTCACTGAGTTCAAGGCTCAGATAGATAAGACATTTAGAGTGAACAGTGCTTGATGTTATGACACACTGTTCTGTGAAATTGTATTGGAGAAGGAACTGGTTTTTTTTATTACTGGGTTATCTGCTATTTTCTATCAGGTGTGCAATGCGTTGTCCAAGAATGTACTTGGCAAGACATTGCTAACTACGAATAGACTGGTATGGAAAACACTTGGCAATATGGGAAATGTTTACATCTTTTTTATATTTGAAGCCTTCAGTTACTTCTTTATCATTCAAAGGCTGAAAGTGAATTTCTTGTTTTCCTTGTAGCTTTCATGCATTTAGAGAAACAGCAATTTACATTAATGGCACTATCTAAATGTGACGTTATAAAGTAATAAATATGTAAGAATAAAGAGAGGAAGATGGAAGACCAATGTCACTAAGGACTTCCCCCCCACCCCCATGTTCTCAAATTCTTTATTTGATTATAATGATGCTAATTCAAAGTGATTTGTGGAATATTTTCTCAGTGGCAAGAGTGAAGGGTATTTCAGTGGCACATGAGACAACCATCTCTTCCCTTCCAGGAACTCCATCCTGGTTCTCTGGAGCAAGGGGTATCCAACCAAGGAAGCAGCAGATCAATGTCTGTCCAACATGGCTTCAGGACAATTAGCTTTGCCCTTTTACAAACAAGATATTTGCTGCTCCTTCCTGCATGGATTCTTATATTGTCACAGTGTAATCTGACATTTTGCCAAGTGTTGGACCCAATTACATCAGTAATTATGCTAGCTTGTTCCATATTGTATTGGTATTGGAATGATGGAAAACTTCTACTACTGTGTCTACCATACAGACAATACTTAGTTGGAATCCAGACTATCTCACATAGGTAACAAACAAAATCCCAAACACTTTGTCTCCACCCTTAATATGTCTTCCCTAAATATACCATGCAATTTTTGTACATTATTTACTTGTTTTCATTCAGTACACATTGAACAAGTTAGAAAAGCCCTGCTATGAGTACAGTTAACTGTAATACTGTTGATTGTATGAATGGCATTTATTTGCTCCTTTTGACTGAAATCTAAGTGAACTGAATGTAGCTGAAAGTAAAAAAACTGCATTTAAATATATTAACAGATAAACTGAAATGACTTTCTGCTCACAAAATTCTATTCATTTAGTTTTCCATTTAATTTTCACTTGTTAAATGGCATAATCAATAATATTTTTATATTATTTCTGTGGTGGAATTTATTAAACTCAGTATAGGTGCATTTCCAAAGGATACTACTGAACTAAGATATTTATCTCAAATAGCAGAGGGTTCTTAAAGTCACGTGTTGTATTTACAGAGACAGATAGCAGGCATATAGTTCATGGGTGTGTGGATGCATACACAGCTAAGCAATGATTTCAATTATGGTACTCCATATATAATAGTTTCTAAAAATGTCTTTAAAAGAAGACAAATGTGGCTTATTTAAATGTATCATATGCATTGCAGGTCACCTATTTTTAACATATAGAGGTTTTCCATTTTCGCCATCATCTAGAATCATAAAGCTTAAAAATATAGGTTATTGAAAGTTACTTTAAAGATATGTCTATAAGCACGAAATAATTTGCACCAATTGAAGTCACACTTGTGGGGTTTTATCATTACTCATCCATAAAGTGTTAAATGTGTATCCATATAATTCTGTAAGGACAATATTTTAGCTTTCCAATGCACCTAACATCCCAAAGCAAAGTATCATTGGTTCTGGCATACTCTGCTTCCTCACTTGCTTGGGTTTGTGTGCCCTACCCACAATACATGAAAGAAATACCAACACTGCACAGACGAAGAGCAAAAATTTTTTATCAATAGCCCAACATTCCAATGCTAGACCTAATTAACATTGTTTTGCTTTCTAAATTAAGTCTTTTAAGAAAATGATCCTCTTCCAATGCTTCATAAAATATATGACCATGTGTTCTACAAAATCGTCTTTATGTTGCTATAGTTACTGGAATAGACTTATAAATTCTATGTTGATATTAGGGAAAGGGAGGTATGTTTGCTTTTGCCAACTGTAACTGTGAGCAAATTCAGGTACACAGCACTTTATTAGTAAAAACTCCTTTGGTAAGCATGCGTTAGAGGAATTAATCATTCATTCCCTGCAGACTGCTTATGTATTTCATCAGGCCATTATCTGATCTGAATAACAAGAACAATTGCATAATAAAATGCATTATTGCTGACACCAGCAACTTTTACTCTTTCAACTTTAAAGTTGCAACTCCTGTATGACACAGAAAGCTGGTGGCAAAAAGCTAATAATTTAATCACACATGCTAGGTCTGACCTCTCTATGGCTATAGAAACAGTTTCCAGGTATCTCTGTAGGCTTGACTAGAAACAGCTTTAATTCAGGCTATCCATCTTACCACTATGACATAATTACAGCAGAGGCAGAATGTCTGTCTGTTTATTATTATTAATGTTGTTGAAAAATCTCTGCTCTCAGAAATTAGAGAGAATGCACATCTCTCCTATGCGTTATAAGGAAATACATATGTAGCAAAATATATGTAATTGCATGTTTGTTTCACTCTTAACTGTGACTGTTTATGGAAAATTATCCTTCTATTTTTGAATATTGTTTTTCAAATATGATATATCATCTTAGAGATGGAAGGTCATAAATGTTAGAGGTCATATACATGATTCGAATATGATCAACCATGACCTCAGCTTAAATTATTTAGTTCCATTTCTAAACCAACTAATAACAGAAATGGCCCTGGAGTGTAATAAAATATCTTTGCAATTTGGGTGAGAAATAAAGTGAGACAATGGCATATCTTTCCAAAGTGATTCCCATTCACTGTAACTTTGTCACCATAATCATCACCTCATCCATTGCCCTATCTCATTACTCTTAAAACTTAAGTCAGAAGACAATCAGAATGCCCTACAAAAACGATACCACAATTCCAAATGCCATTTCCATTCTTAAACACTCTGCCTTTTTCATAATTTTAAAATAAATGCCCAGTGAAATTTTTGATCAGCTGCATGAATTAATATAGAGGTGACTCTATGTTGACTGCAAGAGTGTCATATAAACATGAGAAGTCACTTAATCATTAATTGATAATAAGTGATTATTATAAAGAAAATTTGTCTGACAATTGGTTGTAATTTGAAGTCTAGTTGTATAATTTTGCAAGTTTTTTATTAGAAAAACATGGGTTATATTGAGCCAAAAAAACAAACCCTGAAAGTTAATGATAAATTACATTGCCTTTCTTTTCTAACCACTATTCTACTCCAGGCTGTGTAAGCGCTATTGTGTCAAAGAACTTTGTGTTAAAATTGGTTCAGTCGTTTCTAACCTGCTGTTCCTACTGTACCTACTGTATCTGTAACAATGCAAGAAGAATTAGATTCGGAACCCATTTGGCAGTGATAAAGAGGAAAAAATGCTGAAACGTTATTGATTGTCTTCCCTCTTGTGCAAAACAAACTGACTCAACTATATTTTTCCTGACATAACACAAAGGTTTTATTTAGATATTACAACACATTGGCGAATGATAAGCTACACATGTCTTTTATTCTTTAAGGTACCATTAACGCTTTCATGACGAGAGGAAGAGTGCCCTACTTGTGTTCACAGAAGAGCTGCAGCCCCTGGCACAGGATGATAGTCCAAAAGAAATGCTACCTGCAAAAGTTTTTGATGCAGCCATATTCAGCCTTAGGAGACACCTTAAACCTCTCAGTGGCTGATGAGCCTGTCACAGTTCATAACCGGCTGTGTCAGAGGCGCAGGCTCAGCCCGCTCTCACACTGCATTTTTCACAGTTCTTCTCCAAATTAACTTCACCAAATTCTCCGCCTAGGCGGATGCCAGGACTTCCTCCACACATAAACTGCTCACAGACATGAAGTCATCCGAACAGCTAGTCTTGCAAACCATCTTTATTAACTTTCCCTTGACCCAATTAATTTCGCTAGTGTTCCTTAGAACCAAAGATAAAACAAGCAAACCACTGAAGTCAGCAAAAGGTGTAACTTGGGGGTGGACCAGGGTTGAAGGTGACAGGAGGGAGGAGGTAATGGGATGGGAATCCTCTAGCCTTTTGTAGGTAACAACCCTTCAATCTTAGAGCCAACCAACACATTCACGAGGCAGATCTTCCAGCAGCCCTCGAACAATGAGCCTTCACCACACAGCCTCCAGGGAAGGCTGCACATGCAGACACTCCTAAGTGATCCTCCACAAAGAAGCCCATAACAATTGTTTAGCAAAGCACTTCTCAGGTAGGAATTACTCAAGTTATATAAGGCAAGTTCTTCCCTGGGAACACGAACAGGGAGAAAGCATTCGGTAGACGCCTCACTTTAGAGAGCAGGGACTGAGAGCAGTTTTACTTACTAGAGCAGCCGCTCTGCTCTCTTCGGGAACGGAGGAGTCTTCCTTCCCTCTCTGCCAGTCCAACGGAGAACTGTCTTTCTATCCCAGGGTCCGGGCTCAACTGCAGACGGGGAGAGAAAAGCCACCACCGGCTGCGCTCGGTGTCGGTGGGCTGCAGCGCTTCGGCTTCTTGAAAAGTGGGATCTGCGTGTGCGAGGGCGGCGCGGGAGGGCGGCAGCGCGCTCGGAGCCCGCGGGTCCCGCAGACGCCGGGGCGAGAGCCCGCAGGTGCGGCGGTGCGCGCGGGCGGGGCGGGGCGGGCTGGGCGGCTGCGGCGGGAGCGCCCGGGAGCCTGGGGCTCGCACTCCGCTTGCTCGCGCTCGCGCACAGGCGCTCGCACCCGGCCCTGCGCGCCGCCCGCGCTCACCTGCATTTCCTTAACGAGCCACTTGATGGCTGCGGCGGCGCGGCCGCTCCGGGCAGGACCGGCTGGGGGGTGCGGCGGGCTCCTGAGGCAACAGAGAACCGAGTCCCGGTAACCAGACCCGGCCTCGACCCCGGGCTGGGCGCTGAGAGCACCTGCCGGCAACCGGGTGCCGAGCAGCGTCGGGCCAGATGCGCGCTTCACCATGAGTCCGAGACTCTCCACTCTGGGTTTCCTTGAAGGGAGGCTGGCGGTAAGGGACGAGGGATGGGGGTCTGAAAGGTAGGGGACAGCGCTGTCGTTCACAGTCAGTCAGACGATGTGCTTCGGATACTGGATGTAGTTTGCAGTTTGGGTACTAGACAGTTTGACGGAGCTTGAGGGAGACAAGGGGCTCAGCCATGGTGCCTGTTATCAGAAGAAAACGTGTAGAAGAGTTGCTTGGAAGCAGCCTCTCTACTCCGGAGGGGACGCCCACAGGTATAGGAAGAAGAGGGGCCATCACTGCTTCCTTTATGGAAGCATAATGGTCTGTGCTTGTTGCACTTCAGGCTTGCGGGTCCGGGGAGATGAACTTATGCGTCCTCCCCTAGAAAGGTGGACGCGGGTACTGGGTCTACAAGGACAGAGTGGGCAGAATAGAATCAAGGTTCTCTTCGCTTTACCGTCATGTCTAAGCAGAACACAGCTCTAGACAACAAATGCTGTCTCCTGCTAGACAGAGAGCACATCACTACGTTGGTGCTTAAAATAAAGAGAAACAAAAATAAGTATCCCATTGGTAATAATCCCGACCCAGAGCACTGAGGGCATTCTCTGGCTAAAGGTATTGTGAGCATCGTGGTGGCAAACAAATAGTTGTAAGCCACTTCCACCCCAAAAGGCATACAGCTTTAGCAACATAAGTGACATTCCCAGGGAGTTTCCCTTTTCCTTCATGCCTGATGCAATTCTCTTCTAGTGTCTTTGGCTCTCCATTAGTGACCCATCCTCTACCAGGCTCCCTCTTCAGCCTCCCTCAAGCTACTGTGTGCACAAATCCAAAAAGTTTCACAGGTGCTGTCATTGTGTCTTAAAATCGCTTTTGAAAATGTCAGTATGTAAGACAAGTGACACACACTGTGTAAGAGTGTGCACGTGACATCTTTATGCAATTAAGCAGAGCACTTGCTTTTCTTATGTGTTGTCTGTCCAAGGTGGTGACTCATTCTGTCTCTCCTGTGTATCTTTCTGTCTCCGTTTCTGTCTGTGTCTCTCCATCTATGTCGTCCTCCCTTCCTCCCACCCTTCTTCCTTTCTTGACTCCTTCCCTCCATTCCTTTCTCCTCCTACTTTCCTTCTCGCCCTCTCTCCCTCCCTAGTTTCCTCCTCCTATCCCTGTGTCAGGCACCCTCTCTCTCTCCCCCCTCTCCTTTCCTCCTCCCAGCTTTTCTGCACAAATACACCCCAGTCGGTGCTGTCTCAGTTCCTTCCTGTTAGTGCTCAATAATGGTTTTGCATGAACTTTGTCAGGAAGCCTCTGACTACCAACAGGGAGTTGGAGATGATTGGTAAAAGGGATGCTGGGACTCAAGGATGCAGCTACGTTTCCTGTCATCACTAGCTCATTTCATATGCTACTCTCCTCAATGCCAAGTGGCAGCAGAAATGATTTCCTTTCTGCTATCCATAATATCTTTTTCCTACCCTTGGAAACATAATTAATAATAAAAGAAATAATGCGTTTTGAAGCCATGGGAAGAGGAGATGGGTGCTGATGTGATGTTAGCCACCTTCTCTGTTGCTGCTGCCGACAGTGTGGCCAATTTCCCCCTTCTACTGCTGCTTCTATTGGGTTAAGCAAAGCATTTGGCCCTTTTACTGTGTTCTCCTTCCATCTATCCCTTGACAATAGTTTGTGTATTTTAAATAAAGATTTCATTCTGCCAACCCGCAGGAAGCTTTTAACAAGATGCAGCTGAGCGTGTCGATATCTCACATCGTTTTACTGTTGTATGGGCTGCTCAGCTACTTGAGGCTCCTCACTACTTCAGACAAGCCCTGGCACCTTCCAGAGACAGTGTTCTCAGGCTTGATTTACACTCACTGTTGCAACCATCCTTTGGTGCCCTCTGGAAAAACATGGGACATTGCAAGTCAAGGAAGAGTGGGTGTTGAACTGAAGTCCCTTCCTGCTCCTTCCCTCCAAAAGCACAGTATGTGTTCACTGTGATTGGCTTCGTTTAATGTGTAGTGATTTTGTTACTGGACATTGTTTTGGAAACAGGATTGAGACTGGACTAAGGCTCTTATGATGATTGCATGAAGTATTAGGAGTCAAGGGAGTTCATATCCCTACCTGCCTGCTCCTCCTGCTATATTTACTAGGATTTAAAACTTCAATAAAAAGTCAGGTTTATATGTCTTTATAAAGCTGTAGCTCTATGTTTCCTGAAAAAAGAAGTATTTAAGTTGTCTGTCAATGAACTCTGCATTAAAGTAACCACATTGTGAAACTGAAGTCAACAAAACAGAGATGAGAAAAGGTGAAAGAGAGTTACCTGGAAAATGAGTCTTCAGAGATTACTTTAATACAACAGTGTCTCTTCATTTACTAAACATTAACTTTGTTTTGTGTTTAAGTGAATAATTGGTTTGAATAGCCTGCCATAAGTGGAATAAATCTGAATTTACATTTGGTTTGTGAATGTTGGAGTAAATACCACTTTCCTGCTTCAGTTTTTAAGTTGGGCTTAGCAAGGCATCAGTAGCAAATCTACAGCAATGATTTCCTGTTTTAATATTTTCTTTAAATATTTTAATAGCATCATGAGGAAACTTCTTAATTATACAGCACTCTGTATTGTACAATTTAGTAGAAGGGGAAAGAAAGCAAATAGGAGGATAGTGATAAAGCTGGCAACAACATGAAGCCTGCAGGAAGGAAGTGTGTGCTCTCAGAGGATCCCCTCTGCCTCCCCAATACACCCATCTCAGTCATCCAAGATTCCTTATGTGGTTAGTTTCTCCACAGGCTAAAACTGTCTGTATTCATCTTGACTACTTCAAGAGACCATATTGAGACGTCTTTTCTAATGGTACATTCTACAATTATTTCATTGTTAATTGCTGTTGCTAATATCTTACTGCTCCTAATTCATGTTATACTTTTAAAACTAGATGTGTATACCTAAAATTTAAGTACATATAAAATTTGGTAGACCCAGTATCCACAGGTTTATGGAGAATACTGGTATTAATTTACAGATTGTCATTGGTGTTTGCTTCAGCCTAAGAAATACTACACTGGATTAATGTTTGGTTAACTACAGCCTCTTCGCTAATGTGATGCTGATTGGAATAGAGTGCAAATGCAAACAATATTATGTTAATAATAGATCAGGAACTTATGTACTTAATGAGTCTTCGTACTTGTTACATATAGGACAAAGAAAACTCTCCACTCCTTGAGATTTTACTTTGTCAGTGAGAACAGAGTTCTGATATACCAAATGCATCTAATTTTCTTCAATTTTTAATTCATGGTTTGTCTTCAAGAAAACTGTATAGAGATCCCTGTCATACATGGAAAAATGACTCGCCTACACAATCATTTGAGTGAAGTAGTATGAATAAATAGTGTTACATTGATTATTATTATAGTCTCAATGTGTACATGAAGTGATACCATGGAAAGCATATTTAATCCCCATTTGCCCAAAATCTAAGAACTTGTAGCACCCTGGTTTCTTGTGTCCTCTTGGATTCTCTTTGGCAATGAGAAAAAGGGCAGCCATTCTCTAAGGCATTATGTAGCTCTTTTCTGGTAGTGTCTGTTTGCTCAGGAGTACAGTCTTAAAACCACCGCTCATAGCTCCACCATATATGCATTTCCATTGTCACATGTTCCTTCTGCTGTTCACAGGGGCTGGGATCACGCCCCTTGGAATCTATCATCCATTCCTTTAACCTGGTAGCCTTTCTGGAAAATATTCTTCTAAATTGAGACTCCCTTTTCCTTATGATACTTGGAATATCATATTTGTATTTTAATACAAAGTAGTAAAACATGATAATCAGTTTTCTAATTATTCCAAGTTTTTGCAAAAATACCAGCTACTGTGTACAGAAGACTAAAGGCATTAGCATTACTCCACCTGAGAGTAAATGTAACTCAATGTTAGAAGATACTAGTAGGTAAGATAATTTAGTTGTAAGCTGGAATGCACTAAGGAATGCATAGTAGGATCCAGGAAGACATTATTTCGCGGATTGTATGCAAGGTGTGTCCAAAAGAGATTAGTGTGTGTTGCAGTAGATCAAGTGAGGATCACACTTACTGCTGTGGGTTAGCAATCATCTATCTAGTCATGGCTTCATAAAGGCAAATATTCTTTCTGTGTGATTCCTTAAACTAAAGAGGTATTTTATTCTGTTTTTGGACATCAGAATTTTAATTTCAAGATTTAGACTCCAAGACACAAGACTTTAGGCCCAAGAAAATTCTCTGGTTTATAGAGTACTGAAATATCCAATTTTTCCCTGATGATCCATTTTAAAATCTTTCTCAGGGTTTCTTGGCTCCCATAATTGCAGAGTTGCCATGCACTTGGTTCTGTTTCTCGGTAGAACACTGAACAGTACATGGAAAATCTTTATCTAAATAATTAGAAAATGTTGATGTTGTACACAGAATTGTCATGTGTCTATCACTAAATGAGCCAAATGCATCAAAATTGTGAAAACATCCTATTCTTTATGAACACATATTTTCATATTTTTATCTCATTGCAAAATAAGAATGATGGATAATTTAAAACCTATTATTTATTATCTTTCTAAGCAAATGACTGTTTGTTAAACATTATGATTTTCATATGTTTCCATGCTGCTTCAGGAAAATTATATAGGACCGTTTCTTTATTTCTTAAATGTCCAAAATTATCATGTAAAAGTGAACTCAAGTTTGGCAGTGGTAACACATGCCTTTAATTCCAGCACTCAGGAGACACAGGCAGGGAGATAGATCCCTGTGAGCTTAAGGCAAGCCTGGTCTACAGGGCAAGTTCCAGGACAGGCTGCAGAGCTACACAGAGAAACCCACCCTATCTCAAAACGCCCCTCCCAAAAGAGAACTTAAATTGCTAGTACTAACTCTGTACTCACTGTTTCATGGGTATGTAATGGATTGAGGCTAGTAGCTCACAGAGACTGATGTGGCAAGCACAGGGCCTACAGAATTCTGCACCAGGCCCTCTGCATATGTGTTGTGACTATTAGCTTGGTGTTTTTGTGGGACTCCTAAGAGTGGGAGCAGTGTGTCTCCGACTCTTTTGCCTGCTCTTGAAACTCTTTTCCCACTATTGTGTTGACCTTTCTAACCTCCATGGGAAGGCTTTTGCTTTGTCTTATTATGTCTTGTTTTGTCCTATTTACCTTCTTCTCTCCTAGAGGCCTCCTCTTTTCTGATTGGCAACAGGAGGTGGGTGGATGGGGGGAGAGGGGAGATGGGGTGGGGAGCTGGGAAGAGTGCAGGGAGAGGAAACTGTACTGTCTGAGAGAATAATTTATTTTCAATAATAAAAAGGAGCCAAATGAGTGTGTTCTTCTGATCAAAACTTTCCAAAAGTATATAAATTAACACAGATAACATCAAATTATTAAATAATGTAGAAGAACAATTTTATAAGGAAAATTATCTGTTGATTTGAGCAAATGTTTTAACTTAAATGCAGTAATTTCTGTCAAATGCAAGACTGTATTTGGCTGTGCTTAGTAAAGGCATTATAGATTTTGGTTTTGATTCTAATTTTCAATTTTAATTGCCAAACAGGCATGATAATGGGTATACACAACACATGCATAGCTTGCTAATGTGAGCAGCATCCTAAGACTCAGATGGAAGAAGCTCGGGTCTGTGGTAGTGTGCATGCTCAGTGTGCCCGATGCCTCACTGCAAGCACAAAGGAAGTGCATATATAGATGAAAAATACGTTTATTTATTTCAGTTCTCAGAGAACTGAGTTTTCCTAGCTGGGTTGGGGCTCACAGACCACTTAAATACCAGAACTGAAACGTTCATTACAACGGCCTGTGTCTTGAGGCTCCTGTCTATGTTATTTGTCTGCTTCTCACTATTTGTGCCTATTCTGTCTTGGATTTGGGAACTTTTGAAATATTTGAAACAAAACTAGATATTTTGGGATGGTTAATGTTAAAATATAGGTGCAAAATGAAAAGCATTGTATTTTTCTATAAAAGTTAATTTTCTAATTTTAAAGTAATTCACATTTTGATATTCCACTTGAGTAAACTTGCATATTAATTATCTGTGAGAAACCATTTTGTGTTGGTCTCATACAATGTTTAGTTTCATTATACAGTATTTCAAGAAAGGAAATAATTTTATGATTTTAGCTACATTGTTTGTAAGTCTTTTCTATCACTGTAATTTATTCCTCAAGCTAATTTCTCCTCATAGGCAATTGTTTTCCTATGTCCACATGTTATTATTTCCCACTTTATCGACAAATAAAAAGAATAGAAATATCATAATAGCTTCTCCTGAAGAGTCTACTTTTTAGAAATTTCGTAGACTTGACCCCTGTTTCAGAGAAAGACAAAATATTTTTCAAGTCTTTGTTTTTGGCCTTTTGTTCATACATAATGCTATTGTAGCAGGGAAGTAACTTTGCATTAGCAAAGATTTCTATATACATTTGAAATTTTAAATTGTAAATTTTTAAAATAGGATCAAAAAGAGGGGTTATAAAAATAAAACAGACTGTCTTTTAGCTTTTGATATTTTATAGGTCATAAATTAACTGGAGCATTATATTTCATTTTGAAAATACATGTTGATATTAAAAATTGCAAATCTATGCATGTCTTTAAATAAGTTTTCCACATAGCTCAAGAGGTGTTGCAGCCCAACACCTTACCCTTCACCTCTGTTTCACAGGTGAAACTACTAAATCCACTGTGTAAAATGGTCAATTCTACATAATGAAAATGTAGTTTTATTTTCATATACTCCTTATTTTCATGATTCATAGAGTAATGTTAATGTTAAAGTGTCATATGTTCTTAATGTAAATCTATATACATATGTGTGTGTGTTTTATTTAAATTCATGTTTGTTTTTATTTGCATTACTATGTATTTTCTTAAACCTCTGTTCTTATGTTTCATTTAATAGGTATTATGATGGTACATTCTTAAACAAGTTTCAAATGAGATATTGAATGATCGACTGCTGTACTCAGAAGAGAAATAAGACAAGAAATATGACTTAAACAAGCAAACAAACATGTCTTCTAGAAAACATGAAAAGACCCACTTTGAGGGGCATCCTCTTCAGGGGTCCTCTCCAGACTCCCCGTGTTGCTCAGCACTGCAGTCCCGTGCTCCTTTCCACATGCTCCCTGCCGTCCAGTCCATGCCTGCACTGTTTCACAGTCGTTTATTGTGTTGCAAAAGGGACAGCTACAAATGCTGAAAGAGTGCAGAGACTCAGAGTCCGAGAGCAAGTGGGGGATGTGAGGGAAGCATAGAGATAAGATTTAAGACATTTATTAAAGGATGATCTCCGGAGCGACTACAATATATGGAGAAGCCAGAAAAGAGAGAAAACACTGTAGTGGAGTGTTGCTGAGGGAAATGACGCAGGGCCTCCTCACGGTTCCTTTGAAATGTTTGCCATTAGAACCAGAAATGTATTTTTCTTTCTTCTTTTTAAACCTTTCATTACTTTGGACATTCAAAACTCACTGTGTGAAGCTTGGAAGTGGGAAATGGGTGGCATGTACATGCATTTATAGGGGTTTGGGCTCTCATTTATATATAATTCCTAAGTTATTCTTACAGTGTACCGACTTGATTTTTTTATCCAGATATGACATATAAGTTTCAAGCGTATTACATACATTTTCATTTATAATTTCATGGATTGTGTTTCTAAATGATATTTTAGCTAAATTTCTGGTAATAAAATATAATACTTCAATTGAAAATTTACCTAAATGATATATTTCCAAATATTTCGTGATGTGTGTATTATGGGATTTTCAAAATGTAAGTGTTCAGACATAATTATCAAGATATCAAAAAACAAAGTGGGGTTTTGTGGCACTGCCATAAACCTGTGCAAACGTATTCATTTTTGTTCCATGATAGAAAAAGTTTTGAATCTGAACAAAGGCTAAATTATATTCTGACAATCAAATTGGTATTTTGGGCATTTTTATTTCCTAAAGTTTTACCTCAGTCTCACTTGTTGAGTCCCGTGAAAAACTTTGATGCCACACACCTAGGAAAACATTCGCTTGTGGGGCACCAGGCAGGCTGGCCTTCCTTAGTTGCCTTGCAGTTGTGATCCACAGCATCCGAAGCAGTGCAGCCCCTTTGTAGCCTTCTGTAGATTATGTGGACCAAACCTGTACATCTTTTGGTACAGCAGGAAGGAAGGCTCCACATTTTATAGGTTTAACCAAAACAAATATTTTGGGGGTTTGTTTTATATGAAATAGATAATGTTTATTTAGAAGATACCAGAACCTAAATCTCCAATGCTTGGACACAAACAATTCAGAAGTCTTAGAGCGTGTAATTAGATTTAAAGTGTAGCATTTAATAAAATTCATTGATAAATTTCAACCAACATCTTAACACAGATTGTTCAACAACATCTAGATGTGAACAACAGGAATAATTTCTGGACTTTTGAAAAGCCATAATTGTCAATGAAATATTAAATTAAGAAAATCCTTAGGGGCTTAGTAGTTAAAAAGCAATTACTGCTCTTCCAGAGTAGCTGTGTTCAACCCCTAACATCCACATGCTGTCTCACAACCATCTCTAACTCTAGTTCCAGTAAATCTAATGCCCTTTGCAGATGCCACATAAACCTACAATGTAGAAAACAATGTCAAAAGAAGTTCTCTAAAAATTCTGTAAATTTCTCTAAGCATGTTTTAATGGCATAACCAAATACAGGAAATTAAATATGTTAATAGCCGACCAATTGCATTGCTTGGGTCCTTGAAAATACAGATCAGTAACAAAATAGGTAACTGGAATAATATGAAAGAAATCTCACTTATATTGTGAGAATTCTTTCAGAAGCCTGGACTAGCAATTATTCTATCAAGGAAACTAGAAAAGGCCATGATGTGGTAGAGAGAAACAGCCTCCAGACCTCTAAGCAAGGTTTTCTGTAAGTGGTAACAAAGTTTCGTGAGCCAGAAAAACAAACACAATTTGTGGGCTTATATAGCAGAGTGTCCTTTTGGAGATTAGTAAAGTAAAACATATTTTAAAAATACCAGGATGAATGCAGGAGGTATTACCTTAAGAAATCTTCAAAAGTCAACAGAAAACAAGCCTAGGAGACAGTGTTTGTACCCCAAGATTAGGAGTGTTTGGAAGCAGTAGTATGAAGGGGAGATGAATAAAATGGAAAGGGCATTTAAACTGAGAAGGGAGAATTTTGTGAAGAGGAAGAAATAACACAAAGCCACTAAGGATTTATAAAAATGCCACAGGGAAACGTATATATTATGCTTTTATTTCACTTACAGATGGTATGTGATGAAGTTATGCCATTTGCGATAATACACCCACCACGACCCTAGACCATCTAACAATTGTTGATCAAGGGAAACCTCTCCTTGGACTCCTGGTCAAGGGAGTTCAAGAAATACCAAAATAATTTGTGCTAATGACTTTGTCCTTCACTGTCTCACAGAAATTGAATATAAGACCCTATTGCTGAAGATTCCACATCAGTGGCTATAGGACGGAGCTGACCTGAAAGCCTCTTCTTGGAGGACTAGCTCTTGTAGTATCTGAATGTTCTTTATAAGCTGCCAAGAGAAAAAGTAGCATTCCTATCCATCTATGTGGTCGAAGAAAAACAAGATATCCCTAAGTGTGAATAATGGCACTTATATATTGGGAGTCACGGATAGCTGCCTAATTGGGCTTAATGTCCACTCAATAAGTGAGAATTCATGTCTGATTCTCTAAAGCCATGTCTGGTGACATATGAAACCTAGAGAAGTTACGACTTTCAGTTTCCTAAATATTCTGAATATTTATCCTTATACCCAAAATGAGTGTAGCTCTCACCTCTCAACAGCAAAGCCTTTTGCACTGGAAAACATTACAGCAAGCAATGGCTGGTCGAGACTCAGAGAACAACACAGTAGGGTGCCTAACTCAATCTACATCTACAACAAAATCCTTCCACCTGAGGCTTAGAGAACAGGGCAGAAGGATGTAGCAGTCAGAGTGCCAGGAATCTGCTGTCAGGCAAGGGAAAGCTGAACCCATGAAATCTCAAAAATTATGATCGCTTAATCACAACTTTCACAACGACAATACCAGTTGACATGTCAACATGGATGAGGTATTCCTGTCAGATGAAGAGCTGTGACAACTAATGACTTACGAGGAAAGAGAATCAGTCTTCTATAAGGAAAGAGTCGCATAATTGGTTCTAAAATGTTATGCAGCTTTCAATACTAAATATATACACATAGGAGCAACACTAAATGGACTCAGCCGTGTGTGAGTGAGTGCGTGTGTATTTGTGCATGTATGCAGGTAAGGAGGTTATGATGAATGCAAGAGGGGAAGGCTGAGATGGAAGATGGAGTAGAAATTATGTAAATACAGTATTCATGATGTTCTCAAACTGAACCTTTCAAAGACAACATACTCTTGGGGAGAGGAACAAAACTGAAAACAGACTATACTATGAAAATACATTCTTCTGAGGAGGAGGGTGCCATAAAAAACTAAACAGATATAAATCAAGTTTAGGGAAACTGAGAAATGAGTAGCAGTTTATTTTATAATTAGGAAAATTCACTTGAAAGCTGGAGTCCTAATGCTGGGAATTACTATTGAATACCAAGTTGTAATTAATATGTGCCTATTTCTCAAAATAGTTTTACATTATTAAGTGCAGTAACCCAAACTCAGAAAGACAAATGCCATGTGTTTTCTCTCATATATAGATGGTAGACTTTTTAGATTTGTGTTTATATATATATGTGGGGATGATGTAAAAGCATAGATCATGAAGCTAGAATGGTGGAGCCATAGGAGGGTGAAAGTTTACAGATCACAGCAAGGAAACCCAGGTCAAAGAATGCATGAAAAGGGAAAGAAGAATATGTAATCGGGACACCTTCTGTGGGGGGAGGAGTATAAAAGGGCAGGGGCCAGAGGAGAGGATCCATAAAATCAAGCTATGTGTAGAAATGCAGTAATAAATTCCACTGATTTGCATTCTAGTAAACTGTAAAACGAACAGTATTTAATGACAGAAATGTACCCTTGCAACCATGTTAGTTAAGGTGCAATAAATGTGTTTCTGCAATCTGTGCCATGCACTTTATATTGATTTCGGTCCATGGAAAACTGTCTTTGCACACTTCTGAACCAAGAATATTAATTGCTTGTGGGTGGAGCTCAACTTCACCCTCCCCAACACTTGATAGGGTAAGAAAGAAACTGCTCAATCACTCAGGGATAAAAACATTGCGTCACTGAGAACAGCTGAAGACACAAACTATTTCCAACAGAGGATACTATTTTTATACAATATAAAACTGTCCATAATGGGGAAGAGAAGCCAGAAGTTCAGCTGTGATAATCTTATCCACTGAGAGGAAACTAAATTGGGAACTACAACTGACTGCCTCAACTTTCCCATTTGGTTTCTTCTGGATGTTTGCATGTCTCCTGTTGGATGACATCACCTCTAATGTATTTTTTTCTCTTTTCTTTTACTGGGAAAAGGAAGTGCCAAAGGGACACTCTATCCAGGTTTGGAAACCCCTGACTGCATCATCACAGCTTCTTTAGATTATTTCTGCTGAATGCTCCACTGCCTGATTGTATAATATTTTGTTGTCTATCTCTTCCTATTTACTCTTCTACTGTGGCTTTCTATGGATGGAATAAGCCCACTTATTCAAAACAAAAAGGAACGCTCTCATAGACCATACTCTGGAGCTTAGAGAAGAAAAAAACTTACACAATGGAGTTAAATGAATTAGTCAAAAACTTCTCTTATTTTAAGAGGGTTGCATAATACCTTAACCATGCTTCATTTTTACCTTAGTCCTAATTAAGTGAAAATTGGCAAATTAATATCTCATCTTGTTTGATTGTTTGAGAAGTTTTATAAGACTAAATTTTAAGGGGTCATATATTTTTCAACTATCTGCAAATATTCATACTTCAGTAAAACTTGGAAAGATTCACTCATTCATTACATTTCACATTACAAAACTGTTCCTACTCTGTAAAGGAACAAACTGATCAGAATAGTCCACAAGAAAATTAGTTCAAGACTGTTCAAATATGTGAGCTTTAAATGTTTTGTACAAGTACATTGATTTTCTAAGTTCACTTTAATGATTCAAAATTGTGCTTCAGTAAAATTCTTCAAAAATTAAATTATAATTTTCTAAGTAAATGGGAAGAATGAAATGACCCTTATTAACTATCCAATTTTTAAAAAATGAAAAGGGTAAAAATAATCTATTGTTATACTTTTCCACTTTCCCCATGAAGATGTAAATCTCTTTAGAAAGCCAATGCTGTAACATGAAATGGTTACATTTCTTTCTCTTTCTGTATGTTTTTCTGGAGTTTTTACTGGGAACAAGATGCTTTTCAAAGTAACAATTCTTCATGGTAAAGGAGTCTTGATACAAGGATCTGAATTTTCCTGTTACAAGTTGCCAGTTTCCTAAGTGGTTTTAGTGGTTTGCACATATTTTTTTCAAGAGAAAAGAGAGAGAAACCACCATAGACCCTCCAGGAGCCATCAGATTCAAGTGCCTTCCAGTCACCAGTAAACTCAGCTCTATAAACACAGATTTTACATTTTGGATTTTCTTTCCTTTTTAGTTTTTTTCATCATCTTAATGTTTACAAGCAAGTTTCATATATTAAAATGCCAAAGTAGTTAACCAAATAGTTTAAGACTGAATAATGTTCAGGAGTACCAATGTGTGGTCTGATGGCTCACATTGATGGCTTAGCAACTTGTTCTCATTTTACATGCTAGTCAGCAAAAGAAGGAGTCATCTGAGAGGTGAGGTGAGAATCTGGTCATGTGGTTGTCCATTTCTTACTTTCCAATCCCCTTCCCATTCCTCCTCTATTTAAAGATTATATAAGAATATATAAATATATATATATATATGTTTCCTTTAATGCAAATAAAATGTAGACAATAAATTTAGATTAACCAATCGATTTTTACATTGTTTGATGGTTCAATGAAGTGATTCTTAGTAAAACAGGTATTATTATATTGCAATACTGTAAAGATTGCACTCTGGAATAATTGTCTTTTGAAATATGTGTAAAAACTGAGGACAGGGGCTGATTCCAGAAAATTTAGCATTTCTCTGCTGAAAATTAAATTTGATGAATTCATTGCTGTTACATTTCAATAGCTCTTTTGAAAGAAGCTCACAAGGAGGCAATCTGAAACAAAAAGGAATGAATTTTTAAAAAAAAAGAAACTAACTCAGCCTCTATATAGAAAAAAAGCCTTTCCGTAGTTACAGCAATATATGTATTTTATTAATTTGTGTGCACACATGTAAGACGTGTTTATAAACTACATTAAGTATCTAAGAAAGCAAATCTAGAGAATAGTAATCATGCACAAGATGGAAGGACAGAGAAGTTCCTAGGTTACTAATCTGAATCCACAATACTGGATTTAATATATATTGATTGAAGTCAATTGTTGGATTTATTTTAGAGCAGACTTATGACTGGGAAATAAGAAAATACTAGAAAGAGAACATATTTAAAGAAAGCAGACTTTGGAGAAGAAATTAACTGGCTTGTGTTCTCCTGACTAACAGAGCAGAAACAACTATCATCCCAACATGCTAAGTCATCTACCTTGAGTTATCAAATTGTGAATTTGAGACTGTGATATGCTACTCCTCCCATGGGAAGCTGCCTGCAACTGACAGAATGACCTAATTATCTTCATTCACTGTAGTTATATTTTTGAAAGGTGATTCAGATTTAATTCATTCACTAATGGAACTTGAGTTGCTATCTATTAACATGCAATTAAAACAATCAAAAAGATTGTAGCAGAACCCTGGTCACTGAGGCTTAAGTACTGACATCTCAGAAAGTAAACTACATAAGCATGTAGAAGACCAGAGACTGTCATTTAATCAAGCATAGGGAGGAGCAAATTATTAATTTATAATTAATGTTAAATCTTTTCTTTTTCCCATGTTAATTTATTTTGAATTGTACTCATTCATTTTCTCTTTATTCAGAAACATGTAATTAAGGAAAACAACCCACAGTATAAACGTAGGTGGATTAAAATGATGAAAGCTCTGACTCATCAAGTCTTTTTTGCCCAGTCTGAGTGACGTGGCCGCTCTTTATGCTGCCTGCTGTCTATTCACCGTTGCTCATGTATTCTGTGTTTTGTTTTTACTGATACACCATTGAAATGTTTCTCTGCCACTTGATTGCTTTCAGACAATGAATGAAAAATGCCTTTCATTGATTGGCCTAGTGGTTTTTAGTTGAACAGTAGAATAAAGTTAATAAATAATTTCTTCACTCCATACACTATTTTCCATTATGTTTTGAGCACTTCAAAAATAGTATCTAAATCTTTCCACATGTGCACTCCTATACACACATACACATGCGTGCACACACACACACTCACATACACAATTTGTTTTAAAAATTAAAAATAATTACTGGTATGTTTTATTAGCAGTGAGTATGAGGCTACAGAAATCATCTCCCAATAGCTGACTTAAGTGTAGAGCACTTGGGAACTCTTAAGTCTTTCCCATTATCAATAATGATGCTGTGTGTTTATTTTTGCACTGTAAGAGAGTAAACTTTAGAATTATAGCTCAAATGCCCAGCATGAGTGCTTGCTAACAAATATGACACAGCAATTTAAGCCTTTTCATGTTTCTTCCAATCTGATAGGTGAAATTTTTATTTATATTTTTAAATAAATTTTATATTATGGATATATTTTATACAAAATTTGAAGAGCATATTCTCTATTTCTATTAGGAATTTTATTTTTTACAAAGGTTCATTTACTCGTTATTTTATGTCAATGTGACTGAGTGTATTTATGTCCACCAAATTCATTTAATTGGCCTCATAGTCTCTGTTTCTACTAGAAATTATACTCTTTGCTAACGGTTTATTTACTCATTATTTTATGTCCATGTGCCTGAGTGTATGTATGTCCACCAAACACATTCCGATGTCCTCCAAAGAGCGCATTGAATTATCTGGAACTAGAGTTATAGGTGCCTATTGAAGGCCTTATTTAGGTGCAGGAAGCTGAAGTTCATCCTGCAGAAAAGCAGCAAGTGTTCCTAACTGCTGAGACATGTCTTCATTACTGCCTTAGTTTATTCTATTGCTTTATATTCATATTTCTCATTTTTTTGTCTTTAGTAATGAAAATGAAAGAGAACAGTGTTGATTCCTGGTCTCCATTGTTGAACTCTGAGCAATTGTGATATACGGTTCCATTATATGTTTTCCAAGGTTTGCTCCTAGGCCTTGACTGTCCCTTGTAGACATAAAGACAGGTTCATCCCCATGGGAACTGGTGGTGATCTTGTGTGACTGTTTTTGAAAACTGTTTAGTACCCAAGTGAAAACAGTCTCATAATGACTTACTTTAAAACTCAAATTGCTTTCTTTTCTGTTTCCCTTTTTTGTTTTCATGGTGGTTTGTAGTTTCATCCTAAATTCTGACTCAGTGTTTGATTACATTTGAATTAGAAGTATAATTTGAAGTATACTTATATTTTACTGGGTAGAAGTTGTGTGTTTGGCTTTTACCTTTTACCAATTTTGTCTTTGCCACTGTAGCTTCCCAGTTATATCAGTATCTTAGAAAGATGTTTGGGTACCTATTGTTTTTTTAAAGTATATTTGTTTCTTCCTCCTAAAACTTGTGACTTTAAAGTTTTCATTATTCTCTATGTTCAAGGGAAATTTTAGAATGGTATGAGCAAGCATCCAATTGTAATTTGTATACATTTATATAGTTAATTATAACCACAGAGATAGATCTTGGGTATAAAATATATTTATATTTTATTTCATGTAGTTTAATATAATTGAAACAATGCTTTATGTAGCTTTTCAAAACCTTTCTTCTTCTGTATTCATTTCTCCAGAAAAACTTTAGTATTAACTTACATCCAAAAGTGATTAACTCTCATTACTGAAGTTAAACTTACTGTCAAGTAAATTAAGACATCTTTAAAACGCTGTAAAAAATAGTGTCTGTTCATCTAGCTATGTAATATTTTCTAGTTTTTGGAG